TGTCAAAGGCCTAAAAGAGGTGAGATCCTGGAGGATGAGTTTTGGCAGCACACAGACTTTAATGTTAAACATTTTAATTCTGAAGCTCACAGGTTTTATTACGACGTCTGTACATATGACACGACTCTCTGATTCTTTATGTTTTAATATTTATTCTCCTCGTGTGATAAAAGCAAGTTGTTCTTATTTCTGAAATAAAATCTGTTTCAATTCTGAGTTCATGCAAGATTTTTGTTTCTCATGTTCAGGATGTGTTTAGCCTAGCTTAGCATAACGACGAGGCGCAGGGGGAAACTGCTGGATAACAAATAGCTCCCATGCTAACAGCTGCTAATGAGTGATTAGCTTAGATATAAACACGTAGAAGCCGCTTTAAGGCTTTAGAGACTTCAACGTCTTCTGCCTGCTCCACTTTTCAGAAAATGTGTGCTCAAACAGGCTGTTTGGAAATTTTCCCTTCATGACATCACAAAGGGCAGTAGCCCCTCCCCCAGGTGGGTGACACTCCCACAGCTAGGTGTTTGTTCTGCCCTCTGAGTGTGCCTTCTCACCGTAAACAATAGGACATGGAGCGAGAAAGACAGAGTACACCCAAGCCCTTCCAGAGAGGGGGCGTGGTCAGACACAGCTCATTTACATATTTAAAGGTACAGACACAGAAACAGCCTGTTCTGAGCAGGGCTGAAATAGAGGGGTTTATAGACATGATCAAATACAGGATCAGAGTGGATTTAGAACAAGAAACTTCACACACATGTTTTGAGGAGCTCTGAGACTTATTTAAACTGAAGAGGAAGAGGAGGATATGTCATCTTTAAACTCTGAGGTTAATGTGTATGGAGAAAGTTTATCTATAGATGTCTGTGTCGTTTAGAAAATGAGTCAAAAAGTTTTCATTACTGTGAGGGTTGGAAATAATTTATCCTCCACCGTTCTGTTTGACTCTATGTGAAACAAGTCAAAACACACACACACACTGCTGAATAAACTCTGTGTGTGGAGGAGAGTCGAGGTGAGATCATAGCACTCGTAAAGTGGCGCCGTATGCTTGGCTCCAGGCCACGAACACACACGCGCACACACACACACACTGCTGAGTTCCAGTACGAGGTGTGTCGACAGCATAATGAGGGCTGTAGGCAGCCCTGCTGACAGCTCATTAAACACACACACACACATAATGTTTGACTTTTTTTTGTCAGCTGTAATTCTGCAGGTCGTCCAGCAGATGTCACCATAGTTACTGTAATACTCACCTCAGCTCCTGCGACACCTCATGGTCACAGTCAGTCCATCTGTGACAGATCCATTAGAGAGGTTTAACAGCCGTATTGGATAAACTGTCCAAACGCCAGTCTTATTCCCAGTGTTTTCAGGCTCCTCTGGTTACTCTGCAACCCTTAAAGGCCCTCGCATCTTTAACCAGGAGTACCACAGGGAACTGTACTGGACCTCCTTTAGTCATGTGTAGGTGTTGTGTTAGCGGGGGAGTTAAATCTGGTGTTGTGACGACACTGTTTACATTATTCAAAGTTAAAGACGTTATGTTTATGACTTCGCTGTGATGGATCCCTGATACAACATTCTTATTCTGATACAGATGACGGATTTTCTTTGTTCCTTTTTCAGAGAACATGAGTTATTAATTTCTGTCGGGACCTGAAGACAATTTACACCAACGTCTTAAAAACAAACTCTGCTTCAGTTTAATGTTTGACGACCACATCAGAGTACAAAAGTGTTTATTGTTCATGATGCAGGGCAGCACTTATCATCACAGACATTATAAAAAAATTAAACAATACAAATCATCAACATTTCATGAAGTATGAATCAGTCTTTCAGCTGCTGACTCAGTTCACATTTAAACACTTGGAGGTCATTGTTCTTTCACATTCAGGGAATCCTTTTCGTCAGCCGGCGGATAGAAACATCAAAACTGGATTCTAGGGTGCTGGGCGAACCCGAGGAGGCTACACGCCAAACGTGTTCGCTTACAATAAGTGTGCCATGGATTATCAATTTACAACCGTCCACACCTGAGGACGTTTAGACCGCCCTGTTGGTCATCTGAATTCTTGAGTATTCTTGTTGTAAGAAGGCTGACGACAAACGACTATTTTTTTAACCACGATTAATCGATGCATTTCGACAGTTAATCTCGATCAATCGCTTTTTTAATTACATGTTTGAAATTCTGTTATTTTGCATTTAGTAGTAGTGATCATTTATTTCGGTCACAAGAAAAACATTTTGACCAAAAGGTGAAGGCTGAAGCTTTATCTTATTACACCTACCCTCGTTACAAATCACATTCTTTAAGACACGACTAGTTTGGTTACAAAAAACAAAACATATCAGAACAAAATTTGTTCCAAGAATTTCTTTCAAATCAAAACAAATGAAACAAACAAAAAACAAAACAGAAGTCAAACTCACAAATAAAATCAAACCAACATGTTATATGTGTTCATCAGTTTGTGTTTTGAAATGTCTTATGATAAGTTTGCTTTACTTCCTGTTTGGATTTTTAAAAAAATGCTTTATTTTGAAAGAAATACAACTTCCTGTTACAACATGAAGTTAAGCTCAGAGACAGGAAGTGGTTAGGGATCACAAGCTAAAGTCAAACAGCCCAACGGTCACAAAGGTCAATGTTTGACATCATTAATCAGATGTTTTTAGCTTTAATGGACCAGGCTAACAGTTCCATCTGCTTCCAGTCTTTGTGCTAAGCTAAGCTAACACGTCCTGAATCTGAAACATCTGAAGCAGAAGAAGAAGACGAAGAAGAGGGTTTCCTGAAATGGTCGACTGTTCCTTTAACCGTAGTGCAACACCAGTAACAAAAAAATGTTTAAACAACAAATATTTAGACAATTTGCAGGTGATTGATCGCAATATTTTATACTTAAAAACAATAAATGGAATCCCCTGCACAAGTCAGAGCCCCAGTTGCCCCAGTTGCCCCCCCCTCCAGTCCAATAGTCTGGACAGTCCCCTGCAGGACGACCCTGCTGCAAAAGTAAAAGTGATGCAAAGTTGAGTTGCGTTTGGCTCAGTCGTGTTCTGCTTCTCTTCACAGTCGTCAGATTAACATCAGATCACTTAAATCTGACAGATCAGTCTGCACGCACGCAAACTAGGATCAATATTGGAGATGCTTTTGAAAAATGGAGAGAGGTTAGAACACAGAAAGGTTTACAGACCCATGCAGAGCTGGATAAACACTGAAGCTTCAGAGTCCACCACATGGTGACCTGAGTGAGGGGGGGGGGGGGAGACAGCTCTCTATGATGTTTAGAATTTAGACTGCAGTACCCATTTTAAACACTAGGGGGCAGAGTTACATACTGCTCCTTTAAGCTCTGCGTATGATTCCAGCTTGATTTTTGAGTCTTCGTCTAATTGTATATATTGATTTAGTATTTTAAAGTGTAAAGCACTTTGTAACTTACACATGAAGTGTACAGTCGTCCTGCTCAGACTGCTCTCAGTCTGTAGCGGAAGCTGACATCCTGAGCGGGCAGCAGGATGCCCAGCCCGGCCCTGCTAGAGTCCAGCGTGGCTCGGCTCTGCCCCGCCTCCAGCTGCAGGTCGAAGTAGAGCAGCATCATACACAGGAACTGCTTGATCTCGTTGATGGCGAAGTATCGCCCGGGACACATGGAGGAGCCGGAGCCGAACGGCATCAGGTAATACTTGAGCTTCTGACCATCCTTGAAGAAGTCCGTCTTCTCTCTGCCGTCCTGGATGTAACGGTCGAGTCGGAACGTCTGACGGTTCAAAAAACAGATCGTAAAAACAACAGTTAGACGTTCAGCTCACGATGATCCACATGGTTTTAAAATAACACAATCTCTGTTCCTTTAATGATCGCTAGTATCAAAGTTCGCAAAATGTAAATGTTAACAAGTTCACCCGGCTTGTTAAAGGACGGCAGTCTTTCATTGGTCCCGCAGGCCGCGCCCCCAGCCGTACTATGAGGCCCGGGCGGTGATTAATTACAGGTTTCGATTTGAGGATTTTTGGAACATGTGAAACTGGCAGAGCATCCAATCAGGTTTCAGAAGTTTGTCATCAAGGTTGTCGCCCCCTGAAGGTCGATCATTACTCAAAGGTCGTTTGTTAGTGAGTGCTCAAATATTGACTTAAATCTTTTTCAACATCAAAGAGTGAATTAGTTATTGTGAGGTAAAACAGTGGACAAAATACGTAATGAAAACGATCAAGATTTGTTAAGAATTCTGAAACAAATAACAAGAAATTGGCTTAAAAAAAACCATGTCCCTTGATTTATAAATGTAGAGAAACAATTCAACAAATAGATCAGCTGGAAAGTTTAACTTTAGTTGAACTCAAAACTATCTGAAAAGAGATGGTCTAAGTGGTCAACATATTATGGTAGGAAGGAAATGAACTGAAACTGAGTTATCATGACAACAGGACTGACAGTCACTTAGGGGAGCACCTTTCTCTTCCTTCTCCTTTGACTCTTCGCTTTCTTTTAATTTAATTTTATTCTTTCATTTTATATAACTCATTTGTTTGTTTGTCTTCCTAAAGATGTTAAATATCGTAGAGAAAGGGAAGAAAACCTCGATGGAGGGAAACATTTATGAATTTATGAAACACAGATCCAAGCTACTTCAAACAAACTGTAAAACATGTTTCTGTAGTGTAAGTGTTATTTTTAGTATTTCCACATGACGAGGGGACACGACCTTTTTGACACCACAATGTGAAATGTGAAATATTGTCATCCTTATGTTGAATATGTGTACTGTATGTTAAGACATGATGACAATAAAAAGTAATAAAAAAAAAGAGTGAATGAGTGGAAGAGGTTTTAATTGGAGGTGATGACGGTTAATTATTGATCACCGATAAACGATCAGTCAGAGGATGTACCTGTGGCTCCTCGTAGATCTCCGGGTCCATATGCATACTCTGAGGGTAGAGGGCGATGATGTCACCTTTCCTGACGGCCACCGAGCGCTCTGCGTTCAGCCGCAGACTGAAGTCCTCCTGAACCACTCGGATGTTCATGGAGGCCGAGGACAGGCGGAGACTCTCGTTGATGGCGCTCTCTGTGGACGAAGATCAGCGTCTGTCATCATGGAGCTTTTTAAAAACAGGAAGTCAGTCCTTTCACACCAACGTGTTCACAGATTAGACCGTCATACCCAGAAACAGAAGCTTGTCCAGCTGCTCTCTGCTCAGCGTCACGTCTCTGTCGCTGCTGAACTCCACCTCGCTGAGCTTCAGGACGTCATGGATCTCCTGACGGACGACCTCCAGGGCCTCGGGGTGACTCACCAGGTAGTACATGGACCAGAAGCAGGCGGGGATGGTGTTCCCCACCGACGCCCAGAGAATGGCGAAGTGATGAGCTGGAGGTGAGGAGAGAAGAAGCAAAGAGGGAGCTCTGAGGAAACCTTCCAACATTTATTGAAGACGATAATTAGGCTGAAAGGAAGCTGAGATAACATCGTCATGAAAACACTTTATGATTCATCAGGACTGACTACAAGATGACGATCAAACTACTTTTAAAATGCTCTGAATGAAGGATTGACCATTTCCACCCGTCCAGTATTTGCATCTATTTAAATAAAGTACAAGTTTAAGGAGCTTTATTCCAATGAATTCTGGCGAGGGTAAATTATCAGTGTGATTGCTTTAGACAGTAAACGTGATCGTATTAATATTTGAAGATCCTCGGCTGAAAGTAAATCACTTTCATTATTTATTATCCAACACCTCCCCCCACTCACCTGAACCTCCCTCTACTTAACCTGATCCTCCCCCACATCCCAACTTGACCTCACCTACAGTTCACCTAAACCTCCGCCTCATCTAATCCAAACCTCACCCATAACTCCCCCATATTACACTTACAACCCCCCAGACGTCACATACCCCTCCCCCACTTCACACCTAAAGCTCCCTGCATCTCCCCATATAACACTTACAACCCCCAGACGTCACATACCCCTCCCCCACTTCACACCTAAAGCTCCCTGCATCTCCCCCATATTACACTTACAACCCCCCAGCTGGACTCTGACAGATTGGAACACTTAAGAAGAACATGGACATAAATTGAGAGTTCTAAATAGAAATCTCAGAGGGCTCATAGACCTCTTGCTCAAGAATCTAACTTTGTTTTAGTTTGACTCCAAATGAAAAGCAGACAGTGAATCACTGAGGGATTATATTAATGTCGGGAAGGCAGACCGCCCCCGTGTTTACTGGAATTACACAACAAGTCCTCACAAACATCGGCTCTGTCTCTGAGGAACTGAAGAGATCAACTCAATGTGATCCTTTGTTCACTGGACTCTGCTGTTTATCATCTGTTATCCTCACTGTCGTTTATTTTACAATCTCAAAAATGAAATGTTTGTTTAAAGTAACTGCAGGCTGAACGCTACACTTACTCAAAGATAGTTTGTGAGGGGAAGATGCTCCACTCTGTAACAGCAATCAGAGAGTTTAACAAATCCAACAGAGTGAGAGTCCCTCTGAGCTCGATGTAAAATCAGTTTTGGAAGGATGATGAATGATTAATGGATGGATTGATGGGTAAATCAATTCCTCTTGTGTGATAATAAAGAATCTAAATCTGGATTGGATGGACAAAATGCAAGGGAAGATGATGATGGATAGATGACTCTAAAGGCCCTGACACACCAAGCAGACGACAAAGAACTAGTGGCGACAAAGGCCGCCTGTGGCCAAAAAGTTGGTGGGGTAGCGACGGTGTTGGACACACCGTAAAAAAGTAGGGCGATGACCGCTCACCGACGGCCAACGATCTCCTTGGGGTGTCAGGGCCTTAAGATGGACGGACAGATGGATGTTGGAAGGATGGTTGGATGGATAATGGACAATGGATAAATGGACGGATGAATTGATGGATGGATTGAAGAAAAAGAAAGAGTGATTGAAAGATTGTCGGATGGATGAATGGATTGGTAAATGATGGATGGGTGAATGGATTGGTAAATGATGGATGGATGAATGGATTGGTTAATGATGGATGGATGGATGGATTGGTAAATGAGGGATGGATGAATGGATTGGTAAATGATGGATGGATGAATGGATTGGTAAATGAGGGATGGATGAATGGATTGGTAAATGAGGGATGGATGAATGGATTGGTAAATGATGGATGGATGAATGGATTGGTAAATGATGGATGGATGAATGGATTGGTAAATGATGGATGGATGAATGGATTGGTAAATGATGGATGGATGAATGGATTGGTAAATGAGGGATGGATTGGTAAATGATGGATGGATGAATGGATTGGTTAATGATGGATGGATGAATGGATTGGTAAATGATGGATGGATGGATGAATGGATTGGTAAATGAGGGATGGATGAATGGATTGGTTAATGATGGATGGATGAATGGATTGGTAAATGATGGATGATGAATGGATTGGTAAATGATGGATGGATGAATGGATTGGTTAATGATGGATGGATGAATGGATTGGTAAATGATGAATGGATGAATGGATTGGTAAATGAGGGATGGATGAATGGATTGGTAAATGAGGGATGGATGAATGGATTGGTAAATGATGGATGGATGAATGGATTGGTAAATGATGGATGGATGGATGGATGAATGGATTGGTAAATGAGGGATGGATGAATGGATTGGTAAATGATGGATGGATGAATGGATTGGTAAATGAGGGATGGATGAATGGATTGGTTAATGATGGATGGATGAATGGATTGGTAAATGAGGGATGGATGAATGGATTGGTTAATGATGGATGGATGAATGGATTGGTTAATGATGGATGGATGAATGGATTGGTAAATGATGGATGGATGAATGGATTGGTAAATGATGGATGGATGAATGGATCGGTAAATGATGGATGGATGAATGGATTGGTAAATGATGGATGGATGAATGGATCGGTAAATGAGGGATGGATGAATGGATTGGTAAATGAGGGATGGATGAATGGATTGGTTAATGATGGATGGATGAATGGATTGGTAAATGATGGATGGATGAATGGATTGGTAAATGAGGGATGGATGAATGGATTGGTAAATGATGGATGGATGAATGGATTGGTAAATGATGGATGGATGAATGGATTGGTAAATGATGGATGGATGAATGGATTGGTTAATGATGGATGGATGAATGAATTGGTAAATGATGGATGGATGAATGGATTGGTAAATGATGGATGGATGAATTGGTTAATGATGGATGGATGAATGGATTGGTAAATGATGGATGGATGAATGGATTGGTAAATGATGGATGGATGAATGGATCGGTAAATGAGGGATGGATGGATGGATGAATGGATTGGTAAATGAGGGATGGATGAATGGATTGGTTAATGATGGATGGATGAATGGATTGGTAAATGATGGATGGATGAATGGATTGGTAAATGATGGATGGATGAATGGATTGGTAAATGATGGATGGATGAATGGATTGGTAAATGAGGGATGGATGAATGGATTGGTAAATGATGGATGGATGAATGGATTGGTAAATGATGGATGGATGAATGGATTGGTTAATGATGGATGGATGAATGAATTGGTAAATGATGGATGGATGAATGGATTGGTAAATGATGGATGGATGAATTGGTTAATGATGGATGGATGAATGGATTGGTAAATGATGGATGGATGAATGGATTGGTAAATGATGGATGGATGAATGGATCGGTAAATGAGGGATGGATGGATGGATGAATGGATTGGTAAATGAGGGATGGATGAATGGATTGGTTAATGATGGATGGATGAATGGATTGGTAAATGATGGATGGATGAATGGATTGGTAAATGAGGGATGGATGAATGGATTGGTAAATGAGGGATGGATGAATGGATTGGTAAATGATGGATGGATGAATGGATTGGTAAATGATGGATGGATGGATGGATGAATGGATTGGTAAATGAGGGATGGATGAATGGATTGGTAAATGATGGATGGATGAATGGATTGGTAAATGAGGGATGGATGAATGGATTGGTTAATGATGGATGGATGAATGGATTGGTAAATGAGGGATGGATGATTAATGATGGATGGATGAATGGATTGGTTAATGATGGATGGATGAATGGATTGGTTAATGATGGATGGATGAATGGATTGGTAAATGATGGATGGATGAATGGATCGGTAAATGATGGATGGATGAATGGATTGGTAAATGATGGATGGATGAATGGATCGGTAAATGAGGGATGGATGAATGGATTGGTAAATGATGGATGGATGAATGGATTGGTTAATGATGGATGGATGAATGGATTGGTAAATGATGGATGGATGAATGGATTGGTAAATGAGGGATGGATGAATGGATTGGTAAATGATGGATGGATGAATGGATTGGTAAATGATGGATGGATGAATGGATTGGTAAATGATGGATGGATGAATGGATTGGTTAATGATGGATGGATGAATGAATTGGTAAATGATGGATGGATGAATGGATTGGTAAATGATGGATGGATGAATTGGTTAATGATGGATGGATGAATGGATTGGTAAATGATGGATGGATGAATGGATTGGTAAATGATGGATGGATGAATGGATCGGTAAATGAGGGATGGATGGATGGATGAATGGATTGGTAAATGAGGGATGGATGAATGGATTGGTTAATGATGGATGGATGAATGGATTGGTAAATGATGGATGGATGAATGGATTGGTAAATGATGGATGGATGAATGGATTGGTAAATGATGGATGGATGAATGGATTGGTAAATGAGGGATGGATGAATGGATTGGTAAATGATGGATGGATGAATGGATTGGTAAATGATGGATGGATGAATGGATTGGTTAATGATGGATGGATGAATGAATTGGTAAATGATGGATGGATGAATGGATTGGTAAATGATGGATGGATGAATTGGTTAATGATGGATGGATGAATGGATTGGTAAATGATGGATGGATGAATGGATTGGTAAATGATGGATGGATGAATGGATCGGTAAATGAGGGATGGATGGATGGATGAATGGATTGGTAAATGAGGGATGGATGAATGGATTGGTAAATGATAGGTGGATGAATGGATTGGTTAATGATGGATGGATGAATGGATTGGTAAATGATGGATGGATGAATGGATTGGTAAATGAGGGATGGATGAATGGATTGGTAAATGAGGGATGGATGAATGGATTGGTAAATGATGGATGGATGAATGGATTGGTAAATGAGGGATGGATGAATGGATTGGTAAATGATGGATGGATGAATGGATTGGTAAATGAGGGATGGATGAATGGATTGGTTAATGATGGATGGATGAATGGATTGGTTAATGATGGATGGATGAATGGATTGGAAAATGATGGATGGATGAATGGATTGGAAAATGATGGATGGACACACTATGAACACCTGCTAACTCCTCCCTCAAATGTTTGTTGAAAATGGACAACATTTCAATTTAAAATTCTTTACTTGATTGTTCATGGAGTCAAAGCAGAAGTTATAACAGACACAGATTAGTCCAGGTATGAGCAGCAGAAGTCGAGCCATGCTGATAATTAGTTATCATATGTTACAGATTCCTGGAGGTCTTTATTGAACTGGTTTTGAACGTGTGTACCTGCTTTGTCGGTGTCCCTTAGCGTGTCGTACTGTTCGAGCACCTCCGACCGTCTCTTGATGAACTGCGAGGTGTGGGACCAGCACGACATCCTGTGCGGCAGGAAGTAGTTGATGAGTTTCTGGCGGATGGTCTTGGTGCGCCTCAGCAGCCCGATGGGTATCTGAGCTATTAGCAGAGGAAACATGGAATCAAACCTGGCAAAGTCCTCACGCAGATCGCTTGTCCCGCTGTGCCTCGGCGCCGTCACCGGCCGGCCATACATAGTGAGGAAAGTGGCCTCGAACATCAGAGAGTTACAGAACTCGTACATCCTGCTCTTCCTCCAGCAGCCTTCCCGCCCCGCCCCCTCCCCCAGGTAATCCTGACGGAGCAGCAGCATGAGATTACCCATCATGCTCTCTGTCAGGACAGTCAGGTTGTCCCCCTGGAGGAGCTGAAAGGAGCGGCTGATCTGTTCCTGCATGTGCGGGAACTTCCCACTGTTGGTGGGCGGGTAGCCGAAGGTCATCGGCGCCACCTTGTTGGAGAACTCGTGGAAGTCGAGCTGGCGGCCATGTTTGATGATGTTTGGAAAGAGTAACGGGTCCATGACGAAGGTCATGTATTTACCTGCAGGGAGGAGACACCTGAGTGAGGGCAGCGTTGGATTCATAACCTCAATAACTTCACGCTTTCTACTTTAACCATGTCTGTCGGCGTGAACACGTTAAAGTAGGGATGTTCATTTCAAGTAAAATTACTTTTTGAACGTCAACGTAAACATTTGAATGACTGCCAGTGACTCATTTTCTCACAGATGGACCGAGATGTACATCCTAGTTTTTTAGCTTGATGCTAACACTTAATGGAAAATGTCATTAATGGGCTAACAGATTTAGCATCACGTCTAAATCTTGTTTAGTAAAATAGATGTTTTCTCGAAGAAGTCTCGATTCTTCTTGTTCCTGCAGTGATTGAAAACATTGTAGACAGTTCCATTTGAGTGGTTAATGAGATAATGACATAACTTTCAATCTACCAGGAGTTCCCCTTTTCTTTCAAAATAAAAGCAGGTTTTTCTGTGATTAGCCTAGCTAGCCTCTTGTAGCCCTGATGTGTCGTTCCGTACCAACCTGCCATCTGCACTGTAAAAATGTCTCCGAACTTCCTCTTATGTTTGTCCAGGAATCTGTTGGCGTCTTGTCCAAACTCCAGCGCTTTTCCGATGTAAGGAATCCATCCGTTAATCAGCGGAGGCTCGCCTTCTCTCCTGCAGCCGAGAGAGAAAAGAGAAAACTGTTTCACAAAACTCAACTCCTGAAAATGTATCGACACGACCAGCGTTTGTAACTCGCACTCTGAGCAGACTGTGATGTCGGGGGGGATTGGATGTGTGACCGCAGCAGGTGACAGTCTGAAACATTCACGTCGAGCGAGTAGGCGGAGCCATGACATCATTCACATGGGGCGGAGTTTCTCTTACTCTTTACTGCTCGCTGAACGTTGGCTGAGTAGGACTTCTGTGTGTGTTGGTTTCAAACAGGTGTTCAGATATCGTTTACTGGAATCATAAAAATATAATATAATGACAACCCCAGTGTAAACATCCTCAAACATGTCGTAGTGACATTAACACACAAACCATCGACGACTCCTCCTGCTGCCCGCTGTACTCAGGCTCCGCCCCCTCACCTTAACAAACCCGAGTATTTGAAGCTAAGAGAGCGTCAAACACTGATAACGTGATGTGGATAGTCTGTTTGTAAGCCATCAGCAGTTCATCTGTTTGAGGAGATTCTGGATGATGTTTCATGTCGTCTGCCTTTAGAAGTCTTTGTGTTTGAGATCTTAAAAACATGATGAAGTTTAAAGACACAGTTCAGTGTGTCAGAGTGTTTTCTGTGCTGAGTCATAGTGGACTTTGGAAGAGATTGTGAAGCAGGAACTCTCCTCTCTGTTATCTCTTTGTTCTCAGGAGGACGGATGTGGTGTGTGTGTGTGTTGTGTGTGTGTGTGTGTGTGTGTGTGTGTGTGTGTGTGTGTTTGTTGTGTGTGTGTGTGTGTGTGTGTGTGTCTGTGTGTGTGTGTGTGTGTGTGTGTGTGTGTGTGTGTGTGGTTGTGTGTGTGTGTGTTGTCTGTGGTGTGTGTGTGTGTGTGGTGTGTCTGTGTGTGTGTGTGTGTGTGTGTGTGTGTGTGTGTGTGTGTGTGTGTGTGTGTCTGTGTGTCTGTGTGTGTGTGTGTGTGTGTGTGTGTGTGTGTGTGTGTGTGTGTGTGTGTGTGTGTGTGTGTGTGTGTGTGTCTGTGTGTGTGTGTCTGTGTGTGTGTGTGTGTGTGTGTGTGTGTGTGTGTGTGTGTGTGTCTGTGTGTGTGTGTGTGTGTGTGTGTGTGTGTGTGGTGTGTGTGTGTGTGTCTGTGTGTGTGTGTGTGTGTGTCTGTGTGTGTGTCTGTGTGTGTGTGTGTGTGTGTGTGTGTCTGTGTGTGTGTCTGTGTGTGTGTGTGTGTGTCTGTGGTGTGTCTGTGTCTGTGTGTGTGTGTGTGTGTCTGTGTGTGTGTCTGTGTGTGTGTGTGTGTGTGTGTGTGTGTGTGTGTGTGTGTGTGTGTCTGTGTGTGTGTGTGTCAGATTATTGCTCACATCTGATAATACCCCCCCCCGTGTTAAAAACAAGTCTACACATATTCACATGAATGTTTTTAAAGTCCTGGATCAGTTTCTATTTAAAACCAGATAAACATACTTTAGTATACTGCAACATATGCACAACAACGCTCCTCTGTCACTTTTATTTATATTTCTCTCTTCTGCTGTTCTTCCTTTTTTTGTGTGTGACTGTGATTATTTCTGTGTACTATTGTTGAAAATTCAATAAAATATTCTTTAAAAAACTTTAAAAACAAACAACAGATGAAGTTTTCTCCTGGTTCTCCGTCTTCCTCCCACAGTCAAAGACATGCTCGTTAGGTTAACTGCTGACTCTAAACTGTCTGTAGGTGTGAATGTGAGTGTGGCTGGTTGTCTGTCTCTACATGTCAGCCCTGTGATTGGCTGGTGAACAGTCCAGGGTGTAACCCCGCCTCTTGACCAATGACAGCTGGGATCGACTCCTGTGATAATAAATGGATGGATTGGGCTGTGTTCAAAAAGTCGATATGGCGATGTATCGTCACGTTCTCGTCACGAAACTATCCACCGCCAGCAAAACTGAACGCAAGTGTGCGCACACACACACACACACACACACACACACACACACACACACACACACACACACACACACACACACACACACACACACACACACACACACACACACACACACACACACACACACACACACACACACACACACACACACACACACACACACACAGTTACAGAGACGCCTGATTGGATGACGGAGGTCACTGCTGCTTCATATGACACTCTGACCACACAAACCCAACGCCGGAGTCTTTGGTTTAGGAAGAGACCCGGTTGGATTTCGTGTTGACGGGACAATTTTGAAAATGAAATGGTCATCGCAGAGGAAAATGTTCACATGTCGCAGCATGTTGTCTCTGAGTGAGCTGCTTCGACCTGTGAGGAGATCGCCTGGTGTTGTTGTTGACTTGGCGTGCGGACTATGGCCTGAATCTTTTAATGGCTCATGTGTGATGGAGGTGTGGTCATAGTAATATCTCAGGGTCTGCTGAGGTTGTGGGGGAGGGGCCTAATGTGAGCTCTGTTCACGGGGTCCAGGAGTCCTGGAGACGATCCAGATTATGTCTTCATAAACCTGATCGTGTGTGTTTGTGTGTGTCGACCCACTAATCTGAACATGACTCTTCATCACAGGAACATCGTGTCTTTTTGCGACCACATCAATAATGAATCGATCCGTAGTGAAGTCATAAAACCTCTCAGACTTTGTTCTGTTTGAATAAACTCAACATGCTGATGGTTTCAGGCTCCTTGATACGGTCAAATCAAGTCAAAGGTTTTCTATCTTTTAACAGACACAAAAGGGTAACGCCAACGGACTCAATGGTTCCTTAAAACAGAAAGGGAACCTCAACCAGGACTTAAGACCAGCTGCTTAAAGATACTTTAAAACAGAAGGATTAGGGTTCCTAAAAAAGACACGGACGGTAACTTCAAACTAAACCAAAGAGGAGTGGAAACACAGGAGGAATCACTTCTTAAAAACAATCAAACAGATGCAAAAAGGGGTACCTGAAAAAAAAACGCTAGATGGTTCCCCAAACTGATCCTGAATCTTAAGAGGGTACCCTAAACCCGCTGTTGAAGGGAAGCTTAAAAAGAAAACAAAAGAAGTACCTCAAACAGACATCAAAATGGTTCCTTGAAAACTCTGACCGGGTACCTCAAAACAAAATCTAAAGTTCATATAATTCCGTCGTCCAGCTGCTAAACTTTAAACAGGACCGTAAGCCGACATGAATAGATGAAGAAGTCTGAAAAAAGGACAACTGAAGGGTACATTAAAACAAACGCCGACGTTGAAACCTTTCTAAAATAAACGCGAAGGAAATGAAAGGTTAAAAATATAAACATATAAACGGTACTTTAAAACAGACAATAAAGCGTCAGCATTTCACCGTCTGGACGAGATCAGGATGTTAATATCTGAATAGTCTCCCAAACTGAACCAAAGCTCAATGAGACCTGAACTAGACCTGGATCAGTTAGTCAGGAAAAGGATCTAAACCTTTCTTCACCAATGATTCAATGTTTTAATCCACAAAATGTAATGGATCAGGTTCTTCAACAAACATGAGGAAATCATCTATAAAAAACAACTGCTCAAGTGGTTAAGACACGTTCCTCTGACGTAATCCGATGAACAAACCGCTGACTGATGAGTGAGCAATCGCCAGCTGTAAAGTGGAGCGCTGAATGTGTGGGTAAATATTTCGGCCCTTTAGTGTGTGATCAGAGACAAACTGAGAATCAGTTACGTCAGACACATGTTTGATCTTGTTCTCAACGGAGCTGAAGGAGAACATTAAATATTGCAACATTTCACCTGAAAGCACCCACATCAGCTCCTAACAGAATCAAACATTAAAGGTCCACTCAGTGAGTGAGGGGGGGGGGGATTACAGATGCATTCATTCCTTTGGTTTGTGTTATTTCTTCTCTTCTGTTTCTATCATAAACTCAACTAGATGAAGTTTTCTTCAGTAAACAGTGAAACACGGGAAACAAAGAGGAACAGAGTGAGAAACAGAAACCTGAGTGTGTTTGAGGACAGCTGGTCCACATTAAGAAGAGAAAATCCTCTGAAGTCAGGAAACCCCCCCAAACTAAACTGAAACTACAGAAGACATCCAACAGTGAAAGATTTGAAGTTTCCCAGGGTCCCAACATGAGGGTCAGGACCCTCAGAAGGTCTACAGCCTCATAAGATCTACAAGAGGGTTATATCAGGCTCTCTCTGAGATGAGTTACATGACAGTACGTGACGTTAGCTTACTGTCTGTGACGTTAGCTTACTGTCTGTGACGTTAGCTTATTGTCTGTGACGTTAGCTTACTGTCTGTGACGTTAGCTTATTGTATGTGACGTTAGCTTATTGTCTGTGACGTTAGCTTATTGTATGTGACGTTAGCTTATTGTATGTGACGTTAGCTTATTGTCTGTGACGTTAGCTTATTGTCTGTGACGTTAGCTTATTGTATGTGACGTTAGCTTATTGTCTGTGACGTTAGCTTATTGTCTGTGACGTTAGCTTATTGTCTGTGACGTTAGCTTATTGTCTGTGACGTTAGCTTATTGTATGTGACGTTAGCTTATTGTCTGTGACGTTAGCTTATTGTATGTGACGTTAGCTTATTGTATGTGACGTTAGCTTATTGTATGTGACGTTAGCTTATTGTCTGTGACGTTAGCTTATTGTATGTGACGTTAGCTTATTGTCTGTGACGTTAGCTTATTGTCTGTGACGTTAGCTTATTGTCTGTGACGTTAGCTTATTGTCTGTGACGTTAGCTTATTGTATGTGACGTTAGCTTATTGTCTGTGACGTTAGCTTATTGTCTGTGACGTTAGCTTATTGTCTGTGACGTTAGCTTATTGTCTGTGACGTTAGCTTATTGTCTGTGACGTTAGCTTATTGTCTGTGACGTTAGCTTATTGTCTGTGACGTTAGCTTATTGTCTGTGACGTTAGCTTATTGTCTGTGACGTTAGCTTACTGTCTGTGACGTTAGCTTACTGTCTGTGACGTTAGCTTATTGTCTGTGACGTTAGCTTATTGTCTGTGACGTTAGCTTATTGTATGTGACGTTAGCTTATTGTCTGTGACGTTAGCTTATTGTCTGTGACGTTAGCTTATTGTCTGTGACGTTAGCTTATTGTCTGTGACGTTAGCTTATTGTATGTGACGTTAGCTTATTGTCTGTGACGTTAGCTTATTGTCTGTGACGTTAGCTTATTGTATGTGACGTTAGCTTATTGTCTGTGACGTTAGCTTATTGTATGTGACGTTAGCTTATTGTCTGTGACGTTAGCTTATTGTATGTGACGTTAGCTTATTGTCTGTGACGTTAGCTTATTGTATGTGACGTTAGCTTATTGTATGTGACGTTAGCTTATTGTCTGTGACGTTAGCTTATTGTATGTGACGTTAGCTTATTGTCTGTGACGTTAGCTTATTGTATGTGACGTTAGCTTATTGTCTGTGACGTTAGCTTATTGTATGTGACGTTAGCTTATTGTCTGTGACGTTAGCTTATTGTCTGTGACGTTAGCTTATTGTCTGTGACGTTAGCTTATTGTCTGTGACGTTAGCTTACAGTGCGTGACGTTAGCTTATTGTCTGGGACATTACAGTAAGTTACGTCAGCTCCACGAG